GAAGGAAGACTGAGATATCAGAAAGCCATGGCTCAACTGGGGCCTTTTGCATACTGAGTCCCTGGGGGTCTCAATGAATGGCAATGCACTTTTCATTTGTCAACAGCGTTCTGTCCCAACTGATGCATTCTCTTTTATTCTAAAACCATTCCTTTTCAGATGGCTGCATGCATGCTGTGGAGAGCATGAGCACTTGGCCTGAACATTTGTTCCTACAGGTTCTCCCATATGGAGCCAAGGCTGAGAGCCCTCCTGGGCTAGCCAGCAGCTCAACTTCGCTATGCAAGGAGGACTATGCGAGGTGGATCTCACAATGTGTCAAAAGGGTCTAAATGTTACACTGGATGCCACCCGTGTGAGAACAGGTTTCATAGTGGCAAAATGTACCTCAACTGTCCTGTGCTCGAAATCCAGGGGCCTGCGAGTCACACACTGTGACTAGGAGTTACTCAGTTGCTAGTGCCCACAATTCGTTAGGAGTGTGACTTGTCGGCCATGCTAGGTAGAATGCAATGGTTCAACTCTTTGATTCCGGGAGGAGAGGAGTTTCAATGCAAGGCTCACGAATTACCATCATGGCCCTGGCTCATGGCTGTGCCAAATTCCAGCTCAGTGCATATTAGCCATGAATCTTCAGACCTCTGCAGTATGGTTTCTGTGAGTGGGAGTTCCCAGATTGTGGAACCAGTCTGAAAGTTTAATGTATGAAAGTCACACCTGTGTGAACTTGGCCTCAGTCTGACTGGCCTTCTCAAGCAGGATGCTTTTCTGCTGGCTTGAGGAAAGTCTCACTGCTTTGGGCAACAGACCAAAAACATATCCATGGAGAAGACAGCCATGAGGGCTGTCTCACTGGCCAGCTAAGTAGTCCCCAAAGTTAATGACATTCTGAAAAGTATGAGTCAATTCTCTCGCAGCTGTTAAGTGGTTCTATTCACTCTGTGAAAGGGAGATATGATGGAATGCAGGCTCACTGTGGCTTGATTGTCCACACCAAACTTCTGCCATTTGATGTCTAGGCGAAGGACCTTCTCATTTACTTCCTATCCCCTTGCCCTGTGTTAACCAGGGACAGGGAGGGACCAGGGTGCGTTGACTGTGTATCCCAGTGATGCTCATGGTAGCCCTGACCACCAGCTACATGGAGGGTACAGTTTTATTGTGTGGTGACCACTACTAGACAGACCTCTGTGTGACTTGTCCTTGAGGACTGCGTTTTTCCATGACAACAGCACTTAAAACATCCACAAGGTAGTGCCTAGGACCAGGGCAACAGCACACTTGGCCTACAAGTCCTCAAAAGACTGCTTACTGCATAGCTGGCAGAGGGATGACATTTGGATGGCATTGCTAACCACAGCTAGAGCAGTCTACTTAAGTCAAACTAGGCAGAGCAGGTTCAGCCTGGGCCTAAAGATGGACTGAAGGTCAGGCGAATGCTGCACAGAAGGAGTGAGGGCTCACAGTGCTCTTCACAGGTTCTCAGTCTTCTATGTGAGTCAAAATAGGGGGAATTCAGGCTCACTCCAAGACTCTCTCATGGACCTCGGTGTGCTATTTGCTATCTGTGGCAAGGTGGGAGGACTGCATGGCTAGGCCCTGCTCATTTCCCCACCAGTTGTAATCTGAAGGGATGGCAGGCGGATGAACTCATGAACCATTCCATTTCGGGTGGATGGCCTCAGGTGGGGTGCTTTTGAGCCCATGGCAGCATCAGTGAAACCAAAAAGGTCAGCAGGAGGAATGTCCGGCAGCTGTTCTCTCAGCTGGCTGGCTAGAGACTAGTAATTCATGCACAATGGTATAAGCGAGGGCTGCATGAGCTCCACAACCATGCTAGGGCTTTTGAGGGAGGCAGGGAGGGTGAAGGAAGACTGAGATATCAGAAGGCTGTGGGTCACACACACACACACACACACCCCACACACCCCACACACCACACACACACACGCAATAAGGTCAGAAAGCAGGCAGCCTGAGGAACAGCTGGTTCCTACCAGAGCCCAAGCAGTCCCTACACAAGATCCCTACTGGCCTACTGATCAGATAGGAGATAGGAATAAAAGGCATTTTCAGATGTATATTCTTTCCAATTTGAGCATATGTGCTGCTGAAGCGAGCACCCAGATGTGTATTCTTGAAGGTTTAAGGACAAGAACCAAGTCCTTCAATTATTTTAAAATATCAATTCAACAGGAAGAAAGTGAAAACCTTTCTGCCTTCTTGCATTGTCTTACAAGAGGAATTGTTAAAACATGAATCCCTGGCTCCTGATTCAACAGAAAGACAGATTAGTCTTAAACACAAGTTTATTACAGTCAGCCCCAGATATTAGAAAAGAGTTACAAAAGATGGTTTTTGCTCCACATAGTTCACTTGATACTTTAGCAACAATTGCTTCCTCGGTATTTTATAATTGAGAGCAGCAGGAGACCAAGGCAAGAGAAGATGACAACCTTAGCAGCAGCTCTAAAAGAAATAAACTCTGGGTGAGATTCTCAGGACTCTAAGAAAAACCCGACAACTACTAAAGCCTCTTTTGGACACCTTAGAAGGGACTGTAATGAGAAGCCCCCTGAATCCTGCCCTTTGCAAAAGTGACCACTGTAAGTCAGACTGCCCTCTAAGGTGAAGGCCCCAGGGTTTAGACCTAGCTTACCACCTGGACCAACAAGACTCAAGGGCCCTGGAGCACTCTCTTCCTTCTCCCTCTGGCTGGACCATCATCTCCATAGAGGACATGACTAAAGAGGGAAAAGAAATCATCATTCTGTTGCTGGACACTGGTGCCTGTCTCTCAGTCCTTCTCTTTGACTGTGGCCTTCCCTCCAACCACCATACATCAGTAAAAGGAGTCACTAGAAAGGAGGTAACTCACTACTTTTCACAACCCTTAGGCTGTAACTGGATGGCTTTCTCTCCACCCATTCCTTTTTAAGTGTGTCTGAAAGACCAGTACCCCTCCCAGTGAGAGACATCTTATTTGAATATTGCAATCTACATGCATCCAGGTCAGGTATGCTGCCTCCCTTTTGAGGAAACAAATAAATCCTGAGGTATGAACAACTAAAAGTAGAAAAAGAAGGGCAATAAACACTGTCCTAATACAGATACATCTCAAAAATTCTATTTTTCCTCACCAGAGACAACACCCTCAAGACCTAAAGTTAAAAAGGGATTATCACATAAAATTAACAATTTAAGAGAACAAATTTACTTAAAGTCTATAATAGCCCATGCAACACTCCAATCTTGGGAGCTCAGAAACCCAATGGAGAATGGAGATTGCTACAGGACCTTAGATTGGTAAACAAGGCAGTAGTGCCAGTTAACCCAGTGATACCTAACCCATACACTCTCCTTTCTCAGAACCTAGAGGATCTCTATTGGTTTTCAGTGTTAGATCTAAAATACACCTTCTTTTGTATTCCTTTACACTTAGATTTTCAGTTTCTTTTGAGAATCCTCATGACCAGCTTTCTCAACTGATTTGGACTGTACTTTCTCAAGGGTTCAGATATAGTCATTGTTAGATTTCCCTTGCCCTAAGATGGCTGCCACATGGAATAGCAGCCTCCATGTTAAAATGTGATTTCTCCCAACAAAGGATAGGTTTCTCCTTCCCATCATGCTCTTCTCCCTCCAAAAGAGCAACCTGATACTTGCTACCTCCTAGCAGCTAGTGAAGTCACAAGTCCCTCCTAGTGATGACCCAGGCTCCTCCAGTCTCTTAATACTACCTCACTCAACTCCACCCCAGCTCAGTCTAACCCCACTCTGCTCCTACAAAAGAAGCTCCCTGTTCTGCCATGTTGCTTTTTCCTCCTTTGTTCAAAGACAGCCCAGCAGATCCCATAATAAAGGCTTGCTATGGTTCTGGTCTGGTCCTGATTTTTGGCTCTTTTTACCTAACAGGCCTCACCTTTTTGGACAAGTGCTTTCCCACAATCTCATTGCTTTGAATTTTTCCAGGTCTCAGTTTTGCAATATGTAGATGATATACTGTTATGTTCCCTCTCCGAAGAGCTCACTAGTGAAGGCACTCATTCTCTGTCCAATTTTCTAGCAGGAGGGTTATAAAATTTCTAGACCTAAAATATAACTCTGTAGCCTTGAGATAAAATATTTAGGCCTTATCATATCTAAGGGAACCTGAAGACTGGGGAAGAGAGGATTAAATCAATACTTTCCTTCCCATAGCCCAAGGCCCTAAAACAGTTTAGGGGATTCCTAGGAATTACAGGCTTTTTCTGCCTTTGGATAAGAGGGTATGGTGAGATTGCATGACCTATCAGCTTATAAAAGAAGCCCTAAAGATAGATACTCATATTTTATCCTGGGAACTTGGTTTCCAAACTGCATTCCAGAAGCTCAAACAAGCACTCCTAAATGCCCCAACACTGAGCCTACCAACAGGAAACTGTTTAAATCTATGTGTTAATAATAGGTGGGGCAAGGCTTTGGAGTGGTTACACAGGATTGAAAACCTACTCAACAGCCTATATAGGGTATCTGAGTCATGAATTAGACATTGTATGAAAGGGGTGTCCTACATGCCTTAAAGCTATAACCATTGTAGCTCTCCTAATACCAAGGGTATCCGAGCTAATTTTAGACAAAGATCTCACTGTATATATACCTCACAATGTGGCAGGACTTCTTTTGTCCAAAAGAAGCTTAAGGTTATCAGACAACTGACATCTTAAATACCAGGCTCTACTTCTAGAAGGACCAGCCAGTCAAATAAGTACATGTTTCTCCTTAAACACTGCCACCTTTCCACCAGAAAAGGAGGAAACTGAGACTGACAGACATGACTGAACAGATAATTCTCCATCCATACACAGCCAGAAAAGAGTTATTAAACACTCACTTTACTGATACTGATTTAAACCTTTTCTGTGATGACATTTCCTTCATGGAAAATGGGGCTAGAAAGAGAGGGTATGTAGTAGTGACTCTACATCAGATATTTGTAGGTTCCTCACTTGCACCTGGGACTAGTGTTCAGCTAGCAGCACTCATAGCTCTGACCAGAGCTTTACAACTCAGTAAAGGACAAAAGTCAATATTTATACTGATTCAAAGCCAGGCATGATGGTGTATGCCTGTAATCCCAGGATTTGGGAGGCTGAGGCAGAAGGATTGCTATAAATTTAAAGCCAGCCTGGGCTACATAGTAAACTCAGAGCCAACTGAACTATGCAGCAAGACCCTGTCTCAAAAAATTTTTTATACTGATTTAAAGTATACTTTCCAAATATCACAAGCACATGCAGCCATATGAGAGAAAAGAGATTATCTGACAGCCAACAAATCTCCCACAAATATCATAAGGATATAAACTTTGAGTGGAAAGCTGCCTTTATGCCCTCCAGAGTAGAAGTAATTCACTATAGAGGATACCAAAAAGGAACTGACATAGTAATCAACTGACTGATGCAGCTGCAAAAGAAGCTACTCAAGGGACCCCCCTCTTCAGGCCCCTCTGATCTAGGAAGGGCTCCTGAATCATGCTTGACCTAAATATTCTCAGTCAGAAGTCAAGTGCGCCCTCTCCTATAGATGCCAATTTCTTCTATTAGGATAGATACAATCAGATGATGGTAAACCATTCCTTCCTGGTGTTAGTCAGTAGAAATGTATTAGGCATGCACATCAAACCTTTCCCTTAGCGAGAGATAAGACCTACCACATGGCCTCAAAAATATTCATAGGAAAGGACCCTCTCAGATAATACAACAGATAGTTAAGATGTGTGAGTTCTGCCAAAAGAACAATCCTCTCAGTGGGGCCATATACAGATATACAGAGACATGGTAAATACCCTGGAGAAGACAGGCAACTTGATTTTAATCATATGCTAAAGAATAAGAGACTCCTACTTACTGGTCTGGGTAGATACTTTTCATAAACTGGATTGAGGCCTTTCCTTGCAGAACAGAAAAGTTTCAAGAGGTGATAATTATTTGGGTTTTAAAAATTATCCCCAGATTTGGATTTCCTACAAGCTTATGGAGTGATAATGGGCCTTTAAAAAAAAAAAAAAGAAGCAATAGTTACCCAAGGCATCTCTCAGGCATGGGGCATCCTCTATCACCTCTATTGTGCCTGGAGGTCACAATCATCTGGAAAGGCAGAAGAAAACAAATGATATTTGAAAGAGACAACTTCACAAAATGGCTTAAGCAACTCATCTACAATGGTCTCACTACCATTAGCTCTTATTAAAATAAGAAATAGATCCCAAATTCTAGGCCTCATTTCATTCAAAATACTTTATGGAGATCCTTTTCTCACCACTGATAGAGAAATAGATGCCTTACTAAAAGATGTCACTTCACTGCTTAAATTTCAACAAACACTTCAACAGACACCAGAAGCTCAGCTTAGAGAAAAATGAAGTCCCATATTCCAGTCCAGAGATTTAGTACTGGTAAAGTCTCTTCCCCCATTATCTCTTTCCTAAGACCATTTGGGAAGGACCATACACCATGATCCTGTCAACTCCATCAACTATCAAAGTAGCAGGCCTGGACTCCTGGATACATCACACCTGACTCAAGCCCTGGAAACCAGAGACTGTTGCTAATGTAAATAACCATTAGAATACTTCTATGAACCATAGAAGACTTTAAGTTCTCATTTAAAAAAAAAAAAGGTTAAGTCTTCAGATAGGTAAACTAAGATGTTATTCTTGGTCTTTTTACTAATACCTTACCACACAAATGAGAGAACAATTCTTTCCTATTATGGGCACAGGAATATGCAGAGTCATTAAAACAAACATCTTGCTAGATATATGGCCTGCTCCCCTTGTCGAGTACATCAGGACTTGTTTGGTGGGTATCCCCACTTCAAGGAGATGCTTAAACTATAAGACTACATTAATGAGATATGAAAAAGTTCAGTGATTCATAACTTAGCCCGCCATTACAAAGTGAGTGGCCTATATACTCCACCCTTAAGGATACTGGGCATAATAAAATATTTTCTAGAAATGCCACTGAAGCCTTTCTACAGGCCCTAGTAAAACACCTATTAAGTAAAAATAAAGATCCTATCATGAGATCCAACAATCATAGAAATTAAGATGGCTATTCTCAGATACGGAGTGATTATATGTGGTTAATGTCAACTGTTACAGAAGGAATTGGCAAGTGACACACAGAGAGGCAGCAGAATGGAAGAGAAATAACAAAAGTTTACACCATCAGCGGGGATCCATGACACCTAGTGGTGATGCCCTGATTGATTTCCTTGCTGGGTTACAACTCCTTCTTTTATAGGGTTTTACAGCCTTGATCTCATTCAGTTGGTTACATTGCATTTTCACAGTTCACATTACTGATATTCAAAACATGGTGGCAGGCAGTTGAATTTCAACCCAGATGCAGTTCTTTGTTAGGGGAGGTTACCTTTAAGATTTATTTAGTTATCTATTCTAGCCAAGGGGAAGGGAGTGTGTTTGGTCAGCAAAGCTAACAATGGTTATTCTCATTTACAAAACTTTTGAGGGAGACTAGATGCCTTTGGTGCCGGGAAATTCTCAACTAAATGGAGCAAAGGGCAGAAATTATCTTATATTGTGACATTTCCTAGGTTTTTGCTATTGAAGTTTTCCCTATCACAACTATTTGACAACTTAGTAGAAAGGCTCCCTTATATTAGGAATAAAGAAATCACTCCTATTTTCATTGGTCTAACTCTACTGAATATTTGGAATAGACACACCCTGAATGATGTATAAACACTATCATTTTATAGGTCAAAGACTGGTTTACAACAGACTACTTTAATTGCCCTAAAATTAGGTAAGCAGCTCCCAGAGGCACTAATTGGTCCTACAGAACCAATGTGTGGCCCTGGCTACCTACTGGATGGATAGGGAGGTGCACACTGAAATTTGCATGGTTACAAAATAGAAGTGTCAAAAATATTGACAAAGCTGCAAACTTACACTGCCTACAACATTGAGGGTCTAGAAGTGTGTTTCACTGGTATGATCATTTGACTTCTATCTTTTTCCCTTCCCTAGGATTCAAGGATGTTATGCAACACATTAAAGCCTTGACAAACTATGTTTAATGTGCCTTAAATGACACCTCAATTGGTCTCTCTCTCTCTTAAAGAAGTAAATTAGTGAGGCAAGCTATCCTCCAAAATTGGATAGCATTAGACACCCTAATAGTAGCACAAGGGGGTATCTGTGCAATTATAAAAGCTGAATGTTGGGTGTATATTCTGATTCTTCTGCTAATATCTCAATGGCTGTTTAGAATATTAAACAACTATGTTAGATTCTAAAATTCCCTAAATCTTTTCCTTATCCTCCTTGTGGAAAGCTATTGCTGGCTCTTTCTGATGGAAATACTTGTTGGCTATAATCATAATAGTCTTACTGATCTTATTGTTTGGCCATGTATATTTAACTGTTTCTTTGGCATTGTTTCCTCCAGACTTAAAGCTATATGTCTACCCTTGATAAGAATTCCTGACACCTATTGGGGGCCTTTAGATAAAACCTTGGAGGGTATCTCTGACTGCTGATCACAACTACCACTGACCCCTTCCATCCTGAAGTAGCTAAAACAGCCATCACCTCCTGCCCTTTCAATGCAGTTCAGGATGCCTCTTCAGAGGAGGGAATATTATAGACAACTGAGTTAGGTAGAAATATTATAGTCAGCCAGATAAGGATAGATCCTTGAAAGAGACAGGACAAAAGTGAAACATATCTCAATTGCAGCTGGAGACTCATCTATTAGAGACCAAGCCTCAAGATAAAGACAAGAGAATCAGACCTCAAAGGACAAACACTGGGCCTAATGAAGACTAGATAGAAATCAGTCATCTGGGTGGGTGACGAAGACCTCTGAACCCACCATTTCCTAGAAGTCTTTGTTCTTTCCACCCACATTTATTACATAACTCATTTCCCCAATGGACCACTATTACCTAAGTACCTATACTTGTAACCTAATTGATCAATCATGGCTGTGGCCCACATTGTGCCCATGTGGGTTTTGTTCTATAAAATTCCCTTATAAAATGGGGTTCCTCACTACCCATTTGGGTCCCTTCTTGTCTCTCAGGAGCTATCCTATCAATAAATATTCTACTATTCTTAACTTCTGTTGTGCCTAGAATTCATTCTTTGATTTTTAGAGAATACAAGCTTGGCATATCAGACATCTAACAGGTTGGGAGATACAATATTTCATATTTAATCTCCAGTATTTCCTATATCAATTGGATCAATATTATTTAAGCAGCTATATTTGTAATCTTATTGGTTGATCATAAGTTTGACAAACAATTGTATCCACCTTGTGATTTTGTTCTATAAAATTTCCTTTGAGAAGTGGGCTCAATGGCAACCAACTTTTGGATTCTCTCCTAAACTCTTAGGAGCTATCTCTCTTAATAATGTTTTACTACTCAACTTTTATTGTTCCTCAGAATTCATTCTTTGATTTTGGGAAACACAAATTCAATGTATCAGACATATATCAGGTTGGGAGTAACATGTATTTTCCCTATATCAACAGGACAGTATCAGGAATAAGGAGAAGGGTGAAAGTGAAAAGAAGATGAAGGGAAAAAGGGACTCAAGGACAAAAGGAGAAAGGGACTCAAATGCAAAGGAAATAAAGGGACTGAATAACTCAGGTTTCTGGTATTTATAGCGTCAGACACCACTGATCCAAAGTGCCTCTGACTCTCTCTCTCTCTCTCTCTCTCCCCCCCTCTGATGTCAGCAATTTGCATGATCTCCTAAATTCAAACCTGGATACTCATTAGGTGGGTGGCTAATTTATGGTTGAATGGAGAGAAGTGAAGGGATTCACACAACTTCCCATTCTTAGGATTATGGAAGCATAGATAATCGTTAGGATGGTGTGGTGCTTACATATGAAGGAAGAGAAGGGAGTGACTCAGCCTTCTTGTTTATAACTGTACTATTTACATTGTATTAGGTGTTATGGCCATCATCATGAAGAACCCTATGAAAAGTCCCAAGGAAGAGTAATATGAAAACCTCCACAAGTTTTGGTAAGTTGGGCCTGGGGGTATGAATTAGTGGTAGAGTGTGGGTTTAGCATGCCTAAAGGCCTGGGGTCAATCTCCAGCACCTAAAGAAAATAACAACAACAATGGAGGAGGGTTCCTTTCTCCCCACAACCCCGCCAACATTTGTTATTGTGTGATTTCTTGATAGCAGCCATTCTTTGTGGGGTGAGGTGGAATCTCAGTGCTGTTTTCATCTGCATCTCTCTCGAATGACCAGTGATGTGGAACATTTTTTCATATATTTTCTTGCTGCTTTCACTTCTTTGTATGAGAAATGTCTGTTCATTTCGGATGCCCATTTTTGGATCGGGTCTTTATATTTGGGGGGACTGATTGTTTTGAGTTCTTTATATATCCTTGATAATAGTCCTTTGTCTGAGGTACAGCTGGTAAAAATTTTTTCCCACATTGTAGATTGTCTCTTAGTTCTGCTAATGGTTTCTTTTGAAGTACAGAAGCTTTTTAGTAAGATGAGATCCCAGTTGTTGATTCTTTCTGCTAGTTCC